TAGGACTACAGTTATAATTTGGGAAGAGTCACATGGTACACATCAGTAGAAAGATAGGGCCGTTTCTAACCACTAGGGCTTTAATCGCTCCTAGCTTGATTGCTACCATGACTGCAGGGTCTACTTCTGACATTACACCTCCTCTGCTGTCTGTAACAAGGAAGATCCAGCAGTAGATGGCACACCCAGCCTTACGGGCCCGAAGGCCATCATCCAGGCGTACTGTCAGGCAATCCTGTAGTCTGGGCTCCTGAGACAGTTCTGACTTATGACACCTTTCTGGCATCCTTGTTCAGAACAGCTCCTCTTGCTCTTAGAAAGTGTTTACGTTTGGGTGGAAGATCATAAGGTCCTTCTGCTTCCTGAGAGATAGGAAGTGCAGGTAGCTGTGTTGTCCGGTGAGTTGGACTCTTGGCCTTGATCCCTGTTAGGCATTTCTTTGCTCTGCCCTGGAAGGAGGTTGGTCTTGCTCTTTCTGAAATGCCCAGGTGAGCTGCAGTGGGCACCAAGTGCACACAGGGCAGAGGGAAGCTGCTACAATGGACCGGACACACGGTAAACTCTGGCAGAGGCTGGTGACTGTGATGGGTGATGAGTTTGGCTGCTCAGAAGAGACAACAACAGACGACAGTGAGCTGGGAGTGGCAGGGACCTGTGAAGTAGATACATTTTCTTTCTTCATTATTGTCCTGATTGCTGGGGATATAGCTCAGCAGTGTAAGTGTCTGCTCAGCAAGTGCAAGGTCTTGTGTTCGATCCCCAGGCAAGTGCAAGGTCTTGTGTTCGATCCCCAATATGAAACAAAACAAAAAGGACTAGTGATGATATTTGTCTTAGTCTGTCTTATGTATAACGGAGTATCAGAGAGGAGATAATTTATTTTTAAAAATAAAGGAAGAGAGACAGGAGCTAGGGCATCTGCTCTGTCTTGCTAGGTGACACCCTCTGACATATCACAAAGGAAGAAGACCCTGACCAGAGGCTGCCCCTTTGGTACTAGAATTCCTAGTCTTCAGAACTATGAGAAGTAAATTTCTTAAGAATATGCAGAGGCCTGCTGTGCCAGCCCCACCCCCAAGGTTATGCTGAGACAGCGATTGAGACTGCGACTGGGCATGGTGGTGCACGCCTGCAATCCCAGCGCTTGAGAGGCTGAAAACAGGAGGACCACTAGGAGTCTGATCTGTGTAGTGAGACCCTATATACCCTGTACTAAATACATTTAAAAAAAGAATATGCAGAGGGGGAAATTCTGAAGCAGGACCCATAGTTCTGTCAAATTCTCATAGCATCTATGAAATCCTGTCCTCCAAAATTGTATTTGCATCTCGCAAGAAATGGCAGGCAAGTGTCTATCAGCCCCTCAGACAGGCCACAGGAAGGGGACACAAATCCTGCAACTATTTTGTTACTTGAGGTCACCTAGGGAGGAGTTGGGTCTGAGGTCAGGGATAAGAAAGGCATACCAGTGACATTTTTTGGTTTAAATTAAGTCATTGCAGAGTATAATCCATCTCAGACTTCCTGAGGTCCAGCCCTTCTTTGTGGGAGGGAACGTAAGGAGGCACATCTGGGAAAGCTCCATTTTTCATATTCAGGAAAACAAATATCAAAAATCAAATTCTCTGCCATCCCAGGAGGCAACGCAGCAGTTCTCAAAGCAAGTTTCATGACGCCTCAGAGAGAGAGGGATAAGAAGGGGCCCAAGAAATGAGTCTAGCTTCGCTTGTTTTTCTCCTTGTTACGTTTTTCCTGTTTGTTTATTTTTTGTTTGATTTGAAGCTTTGAGTGTGCAGGAAGATCCTCACTGAAGAGGAGGCTGAGTAACACTTGGTCAGTGTGTTTGTGGCACACACGTGCTCACACTCAGGCACATACAGCGTGTGTGCTATGAGCCAAGAGACAAGGAAGCAAGGAGGAATGACAGACAAGACCCAAGGATCCTCCTGTCTTGCTCAGAAGTTGGCAGTAGGGCCGGACAGACGTGCAAACAGATAAGCCACTGTCCTTTGTGATGGCTGCTTGTCTCCACACACACACACATGCACATGCACGCACACACATGCATGCATACACACGCATGCAAACAGGAGTGTGTACTCTGAGCAGCTCTTGTTGTCCAGGACACTGTCCACCCCCTTCATGAATTTCCCTACGGGCTGACTTTTTTACCAAGTTGAAATTCACGTAACATAAAATGACCTACCTAAGCGTGAATGACCGCGTGCTATTCAGCACCTTCACAGGCACGGTATTACACAACCACAGCCTCTGTCTAGTTCCCAAACATTTCCATTCCCCCAAAAAAATAAATTACTGAGCAGTTAATGATCTATTAATAATAACCTATTAAGCATTTACTTCTCAGCCTTCCCTTCCCCAGCTCCTAGCAAACACATGTCTGCTTCTTGTCCCCATGGATTCACCTAGTCTGGGTATTTCGTATAAGTGGAAACATACACTACATGACATTCATTGTCTAGTTTCTTTTACAGAGCACTTTTTTTTTCCATCTCAGTCCTCCCTGAGGGCCAGGCTGGCCTGGCATGTGGTGCTAGGATCAAACCGCAGTCCCCTGCACCTGCCTAAGCTTGCCTAAGCAGGCGCTTTAGACTGCTGAGCTATCTCGCCAGCCCCTACCGAGCACACTTTTGAGTTTCATCCCTACTGTGGTTTGTGTCTGTTCTGTGTACTGCATGTGGCACTCTTGTTGACCCATTCATCTCTTGATGGACTGCGGTTCTTTTGCCATCTGACTATTTTGAATAGTGCAGCTAGGAACCTTGGAATGGTGCTCGCCTTGCCAGCGCCATCTTGCAAGCCCGTTGCCTCCCTGAGTGCTGATCCGCACTTACTGACCATTTCTTGGGAGACGCATGCAAACTGTTGGAGCTGCAGAGCTGCTGTCCAGTGTTTACCTACCTTCTCTCTCTTTCTGGGGTCTATAACTAGGAGAATTTGCTAGAACTATGGATTCCTGAAATTCCTGAAATGTTTGTTTGGCTATCTGATTCCACTCCTGGGGGAACAGACCTAGGAATGCATTTGCTGGGCCATGTGGGAATTCCAAGTTTAGTTCTCTGAGGAACTGTCAGATTGTTTCATAGGACCAGCCTCTTAGAAATGCCCACAGGTACTGTGGTGAGGTGCGCCTCCATACATCACTGAAAAGGCTGTGAAGAACTGAACCCTGGTTTGCAAATGCACCGAGCGGCTGTGAGTGCCTCCTCTGGTCTTGTGCCGATGCTAACTGGTGCTAATGTGGGGAATGTCATGGGTTCCCACACTGGCCAGAGAGCCAAGCAGAGCAGAGGGCATGACACACTGTGACTGATGCCCCATCCTCTACCATCTGTCACAGTCCCACCCTCTTGCAAAAGCTCATTAGTATCACAGGAGCATGGGCGGGAGTATGTTTTTACAGTTCCGGATAAGACAGACAAGCAACCTAGGGTTCAACATCTACTGAAGGCCCAGAGAAAGTATCTGGGATCAGATACTTGTGGACCTGCTCCACTGATTTGTGAGGCTTCTTGAGTAAACTGTCTAACACTACCCCTGAGCCTCAATTTCCTTATCAATCCTTTGGCTGGCTTGGTTCTCACAGGCTTTCAGCACTTGCTGTTGGGTCTGGAGGGTGAACACCCGCACACCATGCACGAGCACCCTCTTGGCTCCTGCAAAATGCCCTTCACACTCTCCCCAGGTTGACTGAGCTGGCATGGTGGCCCGTTGTCCAGAAGGTCACACTGGCTGTTTTAAATTGTCCTGTTTGCATGGAATGAAGTTTGCTATGGTAACAAGGTCTGGTGGCTGGAATCCAGGGCCCCAGTGGGGGAAAAAATGCAAAGTCTATGCTCAGAGAGAAACAGGAGCTATGAGGAACTTAGCAACGCTAAGGTAACCTCAGTTCTCCCCAGAAAAGGGAGTGGGTAAACTGAGGCAGCGGCCTCACTACTCCACCTATCCCCACAGGAAAAAAAGAAAAGCCACACTGATGCCTTCCAGTCTTTTCTCCTGATCTCGTCCCTCCTTGTCAAGAGTTAGTCCAGCTAAGAAGCTTAGGACCTGGTTGAGGCTGAATCCTGCTCCTGGCCTGCACAGGCCAGGGCTGAGACCCTCTGGAAGGCGTGTGCCTCCCTGGCCCAGGACTAGGAAGGGCATCTCTCCTGGGGATGGAAAGCTCAAGTCAGGTGGCTGTCAGGGCAGAGGTGAGAGACAGGAGGGCCACCAGCTCAGCTCCCCACTGGCATTTCCTGCCTGCAGTTTAAGGACCGGCAAAGCCAGAGCTCCACTCTTGAGCTGGAGCGAGCTGACCCCTCCCTCGGAGCCCCATCCCTGCTCCCCTCAGGGGCCCTTAGTCCCAGAGCACCCCTCTTTCCCGAGCACCCACCGACCACTAGCCCACTACAGCTCCCGGCAGAAGTCCTCCAGGGCGGGGATGCCCCACCGCGGCGAGGAGGGGACAGAGCTTTGGACACGGCGTGCGCGTCCCCCACCCCCAGCCAGGGGCGCCGCCTCGGCCCACGCGCGGGCGCCTCCCGACGCCCCCGCCCCCCGGGGGGGTGTGTCAGTGAGGTGGGGGGAATAGGAGACAGAGGGTGACCCCGGGTCGCAGCCCAGGCCCCCTCCCGGGCGGGCAGCGAATGGTAGGCTCCGCTTAAAGAGTGCCCCGGCGCGCGGTGTCCTCTGCGCGCAGCTCGCAGCTCGCGGCGCCTGCCCGCCTGCTGGGGTCTCGGCGATCGCTGCTCCTCCTCCTGCTCCTTCTCCTCCTCCTCCTCTTTCTCCTCCTCCTCCCCCAGCAGCCTCGCCACCGCCGCGGCTCAGGGCTGGAGGCGCCGCTGTCATTGCTGCGCCGGAGGAGCCCGGTGCTGCCGGTGTCTGGGGGTCGGGGCTCAGGCGAGCCGGGCCGCGGGGGACCCAACAGGTAGAGCCGGGGTGCCCGGCCGCGCGCAGCCCCCGCGCATCATGCAGCTCTTTGTCACCTCTCTCGCCCCCAGGCCAAAATCCTGAGCATGATGGAAGACAATAAGCAGCTCGCGCTCCGCATCGATGGGGCGGTCCAGTCGGCCAGCCAGGAGGTGACCAACCTGCGAGCCGAACTCACGGCCACCAACCGGAGACTGGCGGAACTGAGCGGAGGCGGCCCCGGCCCGGGCCCGGGAGCCGCGGCCAGCGCCTCGGCGGCGGCGGCGGCGGAGAACATGGAGAACCAGCAGCAGGCAGGCGCGCAAGGTAGGGATCGCCTGGCGCCCGGGGCGGAGGCGCGGCGAGCGAGCACGCGGGCCGGCCGTGGCCGGGACCCTGGGACTCGGCGCCCCCACGCCCGGGCGAGATCGCTTTGCATTGTGGCTCGTATGTAACCCTTTCCGCTCGGAGGTGGCCAGTGCCGCTCCCAGGCTGCTGTCATGAAGGAAAACCCCAGCGTTGTGTACATGGGGTCACAGGGTCACACCGGCCCCGGGCAGGGAGAGCGTGGCGCATCCGGCGGGACCCTTCCGGCAGGGCAGCAGAAAGTGCCCTTTGGATGGCACACAGCCCCCAGCTCCGTGGCAAACTTTTCGTGCCCCCAGCCCGGCAGGGACGCATGCCACAGCTCCCAAGGCTCTTCCTTTGGAATGATTCCCAGCTCTGGGCTGTGCCGCCGCGCTCGAGGTGGGCGAAGGATCGGATTGGTGTGCACTTTTCTCCATCCACTCCAGATCCCTTGTCTCGTGCATCTGGACTTTATTTTCTCTCGGTTTGAGATCGCTCAAGCAGCGGGATACAAGGACGAGCGGTAAAGGCTGCCTCTGCAGGGAGTTTACATTTCCAGGGACCGTAGCCCTGGGAGCTCTTCCCGGGGAAAATGTAGAGCTTAAAGATTGAGTGATGGGTTCCTGGAGAAAAGAGGATGGCGTGGATGGTGGATGGCGGGGAGCCTTCCCCCCACCCAGGGGGGCTCGGTTTGAAGCAACTCTGCAGTTTGCTGGTGGGGGCTGGGAGACAGCTGGTCTGTGTTGACATAGAGTTGAGGCTCTGAACGTCTGGCAGGGGTTGAAGGTGGATCAAACACCTCTAAAAGGTGCCTGTAGGTTTCTGTTGACTTGGAGGGTGACAGGGGAAGCAGTGTTTCCCAGAACTGTGCCCCTCATTGCCTTTTGAGAAACTATCACTGGCTCTTAAGATTCTTTGAATTGTAAACTAACCAGCTGAAATCCAGCACAGGACAGGAGAAAAAAAAAAAAAAAAAAATCCCCAGTCCACGAGGGCCACTTGTATAAATACATCACTGGATGAAACACAAGATGCTGATTGCTTAGGAGCTCAGAATGATTTTCTGAATCAGTTATTTCCACAGCTTCTGGGGTGTCCGTGTTCACATGGGTGTCTCCCCTCCATCCCTCCGTTTCCTCCTTCCCTTCCTGGGAAGGTATGCTCTTGCGATGTGGGCTGTGGAGCCTGAGCATTAGTCTTGTGGGAAGGATTCTAAGCCCAGTCTTAACTTGGCAGTCAGTGTCTTAGTGGAAGTCCCAGGAATTGAGGAAGTAATTTGGTCGCGAAGTGGTCATGACGTAATGGAAGGAAGATGTTGTGATCCTTGGTACCTGTTTGGCACCTGGTTATTCTTGTCATTGGTCCCTTTTTATGTCGTTGTGTGTGACAGTGCATTCTCTACTGGAACCTGGTATGGGGGGAGGAAGGACAGAAAGGCTGCCTTGCAAGATCACGCTTTACTTTTTATAAGCAGGGACTCTTCTAACATAAAAGAAATTGGCAAGAACTGACATTGTGCTAAGAACCAAAAGCCATAGTAAGAGACCCTGGACAATGCTGGTTTATTTTCCTCTGTCTACCTTTTCCCAGGCCAAAGAAAAGTTAAGTAGATTTTTATTCAGAAAACTGCATGATGGGTGTTCTGGGGAAGTCTCTCAGGGCTAGTCTATACACTACCCAGAAACCAAGATACTAGCTACCAGCTGAATTGTTGGAGCGGAATGATAGGGAGGCTGTTCCTTTTTATTCCTATGGACATGCTCAAGACCGTAGACGAAGTAATGGATTTTTGGATCTCGTGAGATCTCTTTAAACACACACAAACCCAGAAGCTTCCCTCTGCCTTTAGGAATACACCTGCCCACATCAGGGTCTGCCAGAGGCCGGGGGAGGAAGGAGGTCTTGCCTATTCCTCTCTGCACCGCTGGTGTCTCTGAAAACCTTTACTAGGGTGCTTAGTGATTTTACAATCAGAAAACCTGGTGATAAAGGCTTTAGCTCAACTTGATTGTTGTCCACAAACCCACTTACATTGATATATATTTATACTAATGTGATGGTTGAAAACTAGCTTCCTCATTTAAGTTGGGGAGCATTTGTAGCACCAGGCCCTCGAGCCAGTATGTTTTACATTATTTAGCCTCTTGCGGGATTTATGGTTTTGCTTTAGTTCTGTATGGTTTTTTTTCAAGCGGTCTCTGGCAGCATTCTGCTAGAAGAGAAATCCTCAGCCCAGTGGATCTGGTAGTTGCTTTTGCGATGACGTTTGAGGTCCTAAAGGAGAGCCTGGAGTTCTCACAAGTCAACTGTGAAGTCTTCCTCAGGCTTCTCCTCAAAGGACCTCCAGGGAGGCTCACTGAAGCTCAGCTCTCCCGGCCGTGGGACTGCTCTTCAGAATTCAAATTAGTCTTGTGTTTCCATTTTGTCTGAGTTTATTCCACTCTTTGCACCCAGACCTTAAGAGTAGCTAGTGCTGCTGAGTTATCGCTTTGCAAATCAAGATTTTGAATGAAATGAGTATCTTTCAAAATGCAACTGTATAACCCATTTTTAACTAAAGGGCATTATGCACATATTAAATGCATGCTAATGTACCTTTAATAATATTAGTACAATCCAGTATGCGAGAGTCACCTTTCACTCTCTCATCAGAGGATTGTTAGACTCTGAAAATTTTTTTGATATTTCCAAAAAATTCTTTTTTTAAAAAAAACGAATTAAGCAAACTCATCCATCCATCGCGGAATGTTTTATTCCAGTATAACAACGGGTGTCGCCTTTGATGAAGCAAGCTTGGGTTTTCCTAGAAGGGTTAATGCGGCATGTCATTTTAAACAAAATATTAACTTGCTTGGTACCCTCAGTGAGCTGGCATGGTTGCTATGTAACAGGATCGAGAGTGAACTGCTGAGAATCTGGGCTTTCGGCACTTTGCGCGATCTTCTCTCGGAATCTGTGTTGAAAGGACGCTTGGCAGTGAGCCCATCTCTCTCCCTGCTGCAATCGAGTTGGATAATCCCTAATGAGGATGCTGGCGTACGGCGCCGAGGGCATCCATGCAGGGTGGCACATTTCACAGCTCCTGGGGCCCACCTCTTAGGTGGGTGGGGTCACAACTACCTTTGACAGGTAGACAGAAGGAGGCTTGGAACCCACCGGAGCTGAGCCTTTGCGCCAGTATTCATCTTGGTGGGAGCCAGAGAAGAGAATTGTTTAAAGTAACATTTCTAAGCTTTTTTCCTCAGAGTAACGACTCTAGGAAAGCATGTTTAAAATGCTTGCAGTTCTTCGAGGAGGAAATATAGCAGTTGTTCCTCTGAAAATGTTTTGTCTGATGAATGACTAATATTAGATTCAATTGGTTGCTTTGCTATGTGTAGAATAAACAATTAAGCACCACTGTACCTAATTCAAATAGGTGTTAACTGTCTGTAACATAAAACACGCATGCCCAGTAGGATAGATGCCTATTGTCACTAGTTTACTGTTGCTGTTGTTTTTAAGGAAATAATTGAATTTATAAGCTGTGTGACAGAGAGTGCTGAGAATATCTTTCTCTGATGTTGAGTATTTCCTGTCTCTTGCCTTTGGGAACTGGGGAAGAAGGGAAGGGCTCCTTTTCCTTCATAAATTTCTAGAACTATGCTTAAGTTTTATATTTCTCCCCAGGCGTTAAAATAGGCTGTTACTTAACGTCTGGCTGTTCTTACCTCCCACGACTCCAACGCTGCAGACTCTTCCGTGAAGTATGAATTACCTTTGGAGTGAATGCATGTGTACGTGGTCCGCACAGACGCCAGACTCTGTTGCTTTGCAAAATGAGTTGTCTTCTGACATCCCCTTCCTGATTCCTTCCCGCCTCCACGCTTGTTTTCCTAGGTAGACTTTTCTCTTCTTTGAAAAGGAGAAGTTTCAAGTGGCAGGAAGAGCAGAAGAAAATGTAGTGGGATCTCTGAGCCCCTCTGAGTTGAACACTGAGGGACAGAGGAGGTCACGCAGCTTTTGGTTTTCCGGCCATGGCAATGTACTGAACAACCGTGTCTTCTCCTAAGCTGCCTACGCTGCCCTCAGCTTGGATTTCCAAGTTGCTCCTACAAGTCACTGTGCAGGGTCACAAAGAGATTACTTACAGATCAGTGCAGTGTGGTTGAAATTAGTTATTGATTGGCTATTATTTACCACCTTTCCGTTGTCTTTGGAAAAATGCCTTTGGAGAATCGCTAAGTCAAGATTCTGATCCTGTTTCACTTCATGCTTCCAGTATTTGCTTCATGACTTTCCATCGTTTCCCAAAACTTCTTTGATGTTACCCAGAAGTCTTAGCCAACCCAACTTGTATAATAAGGTTTGGTCACAAATCACCCTAGTGTAAAGCAAGGCATTTTTTCATTCCTTCACCCCTTTTCTCCCCAAGCCCGTTGGCACGTTTTAGGACTCCTGGAGGGTTATAATTTGTGACTGCCTGGCTGCCATTGAGTAGGTAACAGATGGACTTAGCAGGTAGGGACTGCTCACTGGAGCTCCACCTGGCCACCCTTGCAAGCTACATAGGGCCCAGAAGGCCACGCTTGGGGTGTTGGCCACATTCATTGCATATGGGGGGAGTGTGTGTGTGTGTGTGTGTGTGTGTGTGTGTGTGTGTGTCTAGATACTTATTTCTAGAATGAATGCAAATGTACATTAGCCCATCCTATGTGGGCTGGAGATCAGGGCAGGTAACGTGGGGGGACGGGTGGCACCAACAGTGGGCATGGCAATGCCTTAGTGCTCTGAAACACAGGGAAAAGGGTTCGGGCCAAGTCATATATGACAAGACAGATCCCTCAAAGCCAGCACAGTGACCTTCCACAGTGGCAGATTGTACCTGGTGGGTGACTGATAGCAGCCAAGACTCCTATAGAACCATGCTGCCATCTTCAAGTCCCCAACAAAGCCCATCTCTCCTGCAGAGAACCTGGCAGAAGACCAGAGGCAGGAAG